TTCTTCGGGTATATTCCCAGAAGTAGAATTGCTGTGTCATAGGCAATTCCGTGTTTAATTTTTTGAGTTATCTCCACACAGTGTTTACTGTGGGTACACCAGTTGGCATTCCCAACAGTGCACAAGTGTTCCCTTTTCTCCACATCTTCACCAACACTTGTTTTTGTTGATTTATTGATGAAGGCATTCTGCCCAATGGGAGGTGATATCTCATTGTAGTTTTAATTTGCATTTCTCTGATGATTAGTGACATTGAGTATCTTTTCATATGTCTATTGGTCATTTGTGTATCCTCTTTCTTTTTTTAATCTTTATTGTTTAAGGTATTATAGATGTCCCCATTTTTCCCCCCAGTGTCTCTCTCCACCTGGTTCCTGTCCCATCCCAGGCCTTCACCACCCTATTGTCTGTGTCCTTGGGTAATGCATTTATGCATATAAGCTCTTTGGTTATTCTCTCCCCACCCTTCTACCCTTTGAGATTCATTAATCTGTTCCATGTTTCCATACCTCTGGTTCTGTTTCATTCATCCATTGATTTTGTTCATTAGGTTCCTTGTTTGTTTATTTTGACTTTTAGATTCAATTGTTGATAGATATGTATTTATTGCCATTTTATTGTTCATATTTCTTCCTCTTCCTCTTCTTGCTCTTCTTGCTCTTAAACATTTCATGTAATACTCTTTTGGTGATGATAAACTCTTTTAGCTTTTTCTTGTCTGTGAAGCTCTTTATCTGACCTTCAATTCTAAATAATAGCTTTGCTGGGTAGAGAAATCTTGGTTGTAGGTCTTTGGTCTTTGCTTTTCATCACTTTGAATATTTCTTTTTTTTTTTTTTTTTAATATATTTTATTGATTTCTTACAGAGAGGAAGAGAGAGAGATAGAGAGTTAGAAACATCGATGAGAGAGAAACATCGATCAGCTGCCTCCTGCACACCCCCTGGGGATGTGCCCGCAACCCAGGCACATGCCCCTGACCGGAATCGAACCTGGGACCTTTCAGTCTGCAGGCCGACGCTCTATCCACTGAGCCAAACCGGTCTCGGCCACTTTGAATATTTCTTGCCACTCCTTTCTGGCCTGCAAAGTTTCTGTTGGAAATCAGCTGACAGTAGTGTGGGTGCTCCCTTGTAGGTAACTGAACTGCTTTTCTCTTGCGGCTTTTAAGATTCTCTCTTTGTCTTTAACCCTTGGCATTTTCATTGTAATGTGTCTTGATGTAGGCCTCTTTGGGTTCCTCTTGTTTGGAACTCTCTGGGCTTGTAAGTCTATTTCTTTCACCAGGTAGGGAAAGTTTTCTGTCATTCATTCTTTTTTTATTTTTTTAATCTCTCACTTTTTTAAAAAAAAAAATTTTTTTTAAATATATTTTATTGATTTTTTACAGAGAGGAAGGTAGAGAGATAGAGAGTTAGAAACATTGATGAGAGAGAAACATCGATCAGCTGCCTCCTGCACATCTCCCACTGGGGACATGCCCGCAACCCAGGCACATGCCCTTGACTGGAATTGAACCTGGGACCTTTCAGTCTGCAGGCCGACGCTCTATCCACTGAGCCAAACCAGTCCCGGCATTTTTTTTTTTAATATATTGATTTCAGAGAGGGAGGGAGGGAGATAGAAACATCAGTGATGAGCGAGAATCATCGATCAACTGCCTCCTGCACACCTCACATTGGGAATCGAGTCTGCAGCCTGAACATGTGCCCTGACTGGGAATCAAACCGTGAACTCCTGGTTCATAGGTCAATGCTCAACTACTGAGCCACGCCGGCCAGGCTCAGTATTTCTTCAAATAGGTTTTTAATATCTTGCTCTCTTTCTTCTCTTTCTGGTACCCCCATAATGTGAAAGTTGGTACACTTGAAGTTGTCCCAGAGGCTTCTTACACTATCTTTATATTTTTGGATTCTTTTTTCTTTTTGTTCTTCTGGTTGGGTGTTTTTACTTCCTCATATTCCAAATAGTTGATTTCATTCTCAGAATCCTCTGCTCTACTGTTTAATCCCTGTAAATTATTCTTTATTTCAGTTGGTGTAAGCTTACTTTCTCACTGGTCCTTTTTCATTCATGTCTTTTATTCTCTCACTAAGTCCCTTGAAGCTCTCATTAAGATCCTTGAGCAACCTTAAAACCATTGTTTTGATCTCTGTATCCAGTATTTTGCTTGCTTCCATTTCATTTATTCCTCTTTCTGGAGATTTCTTCTGTTCTTTCATTTGTGACATATTTCTTTGTCTCCACGTTTTGGCTGATTCCCCATGTTTGTTTCTACATATTAGATCAGCAGCTGTATCTCCTGGAATTAGTCGAGTGGCCTTGTGCAATAGGTGTCCTGTAGGGCCCAGTGGTACAGCCTCTCTAGTCACCTGAGCTAGGCACTCTAGGTTTGCCCCTGTGTGGGCTGTGTGCACAGTCTTGTTGTAGTTGATCCTTGATTGCTGTTGGTGTCACTGGGAGGAATTGACCTCCAGGCCAATTGGCTGTGAGGACCAGCTGCAACTACAGTGGGAGAGCTGCTGTGCAGCAGACAACCCTTTGGAGCAGGACTTGCTTCAGTGGGGCTTTGGTGTTCACTGAGTCTGCCCTGTGAGTGTGTTGCTGTGGATGTGTAGAGTTGCAATCTGCTATGGTCTGAAGCTGTCCACTGGGTTCATTGGCTCTAGGGCCTGCTGGGAGGTGCAAAATCAACCACTGCCTGGGGCTACCTTGCAAGAGCTACCCAGCGATCTGCAGGTGGCTGCTACTTGTATTGGGTTTGAAAGTGCCTGGGTGAGGCCCAGCTGTGAAGCAAGGCAGGCTGGTGCTAGTGCTGGGTCTTGGGCCTGCTGATGCCAGCTGCTGCTTGTTTAAGAGATTTTAGAAAAGTCTGAAGCCTGAGCCAGGACAGGCCATTCATATGGAAGCTGCAGACAGTTTGGGTGGGGCTGCAAGTTGGATGTGGCAGGGTCTCAGGGAATCAGGGCAGAACAAAACAGCGTGGCCATGCTGATGGGAACTCAGATATGGCTGCCAGTCAGCTCTGTGACGAGGGAGGTGCCAGCACAGGAACAATGACCCCCATGAGCACCCCTGTCTGAAAAAAAGCCACTCCCAAGTTCCTGCTCCCATCCCAACAACCCAGTTCCTCCCTATATTTCCCTGGTTCCCCCAATGCTGGCACCTGGTGATGAAGCTCAAAGCAAGCAGGACAGTGTAACATCGTGTATGAGCCTTTAAGAGGAACTGCCTAGATCTCCAGCAGCCTCCATGTTACTCAGCCACAATCCTTGCTGGATTTTACAACCAGAGTTATGGGGACTTCTCTTCCCAGCTCTAGAACCCTGGGCTGGAGGTCTGGTGTGGGGCTGGGACCTCTTGCTTCTCACAGGAGGCCTCCACAGCGGTGATATCCCTCTGATTAAAAACATGCCACACGTGGGTGTTGGCCCAGCTGCTTCCGTGCCTCCACCCCTCCTTCCAGTCTCTATGTACTTCCATCTTTACCTCTCACATTGTAGGACTTCCATTCAGCCAGCTTTCAGGCAGTTTTGAATGATGGTATTTCCTTATTTTTGTTGTAATTTCAATGTGGTTGTCTGAAGATGCGAGTACTGGCATTTACCTGCTCACCATCTTGGTTCTCTGTATATCCTCTTTGGAGAAGTGTACAGTGGGGCCTTGACTTATGAGTTTAATTCGTTCCGAGACCGAGCTCGTTAACTCAAATTACTCTAGCAACTCAATGCAGAAAATCGGCTGAGAGACAGCTGGTATCTCAAAAAACTCATTAGTTGGGACACTCGTAAGTCAAGGCCCCACTGTATTCCAGTCCTTTGCCCATTTTTAATTGGATTGTTTGGTTTTTGGTTTTGAGTTTTATAAGTTCTTTATAAATTGTGGATATTAACCCCTTATCAGAAGTATCATTGGTGAATATGGTATGTTCTCCCACTCAGTGGGTTGTCTTTTTATTTTGTTGGTGGTTTCCTTTACTGTTTAAAAACTTTTTAGTTTGATGTAGTCCCATTTGTTTATTAATAAACTTTTTTTGTAGATAAATCTTTCCACAAATCCATAATTTTGTGTTACAGTTCTAAAAATGAAATTGCTGATTGGAAGGGTATGTTCATTTTTAAAGCTTATACTAGAAATTGTCAAATGGCCTTCCAGAAATACACACCAGTTTATATTCCCACTAGCACTGGTGTTCCTTTTCGCATGCCTTTGCTAAAACATATGTATGTAAGCAACTAAACATATGGATTGTTAAAACACTTTTGTGCCTTTTTCCTAGACAAGAGTTGGAGTGCCTTCTTACTTTAATCCAGCCGTGGGCAAATTATGGCCCGCGGGCCGGATCCGGCCCATTTGAAATGAATAAAACTAAAAAAAAAAAAATACCGCATCCTTTTATGTAATGATGTTTACTTTGAATTTATATTAGTTCACACAAACACTCTATCCATGCTTTTGTTCCGGCCTTTCCGGTCCAGTTTAAGAACCCATTGTGGCCCTCGAGTCAAAAAGTTTGCCCACCCCTGCTTTAATCTGTAACTATATTTAATTACTAGTGTGCATCCATATCTTTCCATATTGGCCCTGTTATATTTGTTCTTTGCGAATTGTCTTTTCATGTCCTTTGCTCAGTTTTCCTTTTGAGATGTTTTTTATTAATTTTGTAAAAAAAAGTCTTGATATATGAGTGATACTGTTATACAGAGAAGAACCTGTTAAACATGCTGCAAATTTACCCCCTAATTTGCCTTTTAATTTTGTTTTGGGGGTGTTTTAATGTATAGAATTAAGCTTATGTTAAATCTTGGTTTCTGCTTTTGCATATGTACTAGTATATGCTTAGAAAGACCTCTACCTCAAGATCAGCTATTCACCTGTGTTTTCTCTTAGTTTCATATAAAACCTAATTTATATGCCTTTACACTCACTTCCTACTTTGATTCACAAATGTGTGCATTTGGATTTAATAGAAATTGAATTATTTACCATTTGTTTTACAGCAAAGATTTGTGGGGAAGATGGGCAGGTGGACCCCAACTGTTTTGTTCTGGCACAGTCCGTAGTCTTTAGTGCAATGGAGCAAGAGTAAGTTGATGTCGTACTTTCACATTTTGCATTCTTGAGAATTTGGGTTTAGTGTTGGAATGGGCTTCACACAACTAAAAACAAACTATCTTTGAGGATTTACGTATTTTGAATGTTTACAGGATCTTATAAGCATACTTTAATTGACTTTTTAAACAAGTACATTGTGAACTCGATTAAAAATAAAACAATTTTACTTCACTGATTTGTTGTTATTGATACAATTGGTATAAAAAGACTGTGAGGATTCCCTTAAAATCAGGAACAGAATTAAAGACACTCCTTGTAAAAATGTATTTTGTTTTACATGTAAATGACTAACAAGTTAACTTGGAAATGCAATGTAGAGTATTAGTTTGCCACAATTAGGTATTTAGGCTAATGGAATATTCTTGTATTCTTGTTTATTTTTATATTTTGTTTTATTTTAACATTTTTATTTTATTAAATTTATTGGCATGACATTGGTCAAAAAAATAAATATAAAAATAAAACCAATTTCATTTTTAATGTTAATACCTCCTAAGTTAAAATAATTTGTTTTTAATTCTAAAGTCATTTGGGGGTGATTGTGACTATTAGAATTGGTTTGTTTATTTAAACAATGCATGTCTTTAGATGGATATTCTAATTTGTTAGTGCATGCTTTAAGCTTAATGTATCCCGTAATACTAAATCCATATAGATTTGTTGAAACTGCCTCCAAAGGTTTTTTTTCTTTTTATTAATTACTGCTTCATACCCTTAAAAAGAACCTATATATTCATTTAGCATTTGTGAAAATGGTACTTTGTACAAGGAAGTTACAGCCTAATAGGAGAAAGAGGGCATGTTCTTTTGTTACTGTAACTTTTGTTACTGTATATTTGTCACGTGTGTTAAGTATCAGAGGGGAGCTACAGAGTCCGTCAGAAGTGGGGGACTCAGGAACAGCACCATGGGAAGGGAGGTAGTGTTGACCTAGGCTCTTAAGATAAAACAGGCACAATGTGGAAAGAGTGTATTTTTCCCTATTAAGTTCTTTCCCTTGGTCGTTCCCTCAAAGTGTCCCTTTTTGTCCATGTGCAGGCACTTTAGTGAGTTTCTGCGGAGTCACCATTTCTGTAAATACCAGATTGAAGTGCTGACCAGCGGAACTGTTTACCTGGCTGACATTCTCTTCTGTGAGTCAGCCCTCTTTTATTTCTCTGAGGTAAAGTCTGCGTTTCCTCTCATACTCTGTTAGAGCATTTCAGCCTCTAAACTGTAATGCTGGGGCCCTGTATATAGAAAATAACATAGCTGGATTTAAATAATTGTGTAATTGTTTTAAGGTGTATGTGGTGGCAAGAGAACTTTAATGACATATTAGTCAGATTAAAGAGAGACCATGAAAATGCAATGTAAAATAACTCTAATTTGGAAAAATCGAATTAAGAGAATGTATATTTTAAATTATTTGGAGTTGTTTTAAAATCACAGAGTTTGATACTTGATCCCAGTGTGCAAATATTTTCAGATCAGACTTCAGAAGAGAGAAAGAAAAGTCATAAATTTTTTCTTACTGTCATTACCTTTGCTTTAGCCACTTCATAGAATTGCCCAGGAAAGCATTTGCAAAAAGCAGTGAGTATATTAATGTCTTTGAGGCATACATTTTAGTGTAATTGTATTTGTAGGCTTCAGAAAATGAAATCTTTTGTTGCACAGTACATGACTATTAAGTAGAGATAAGAGGATCCCCAGTCTCACGAAGCAGTAACTGAAATACACACTTGCACCTATTCTATCTCTTCACAAGAATGATTTATTTTCCACTCCCTCTGTTTGCCACAGTTTAAGTGAGCTTTTTTTGTTTTGTTATTCCTCACCTGAGGATATTTTATCCATTGATTTTTAGAGAGAGTGGAAAGGAGGGGGTAGGGAGAGAGACAGGGAGAGAGAGAAGGAGGGAGAGCAACATCCATTTCAGAGAAACACATCAATTGGTTGTGCCCCCACCCCCCACCCCACCCTCGTGGGCCAGGGATCGAACCTGTCACCAGGTGGATTCCCTGACCGGGAATTGTATTTGTGACCCTCTGGTGCAAGGGCCAATGAATGCTCTGTCCATTGAGCACCACCGGCCGGGGCTAAGTCAGCATTTATTTAGGTTAATATGGCTGCATGGAGTTACAGAAATGATCAGGTATAAAAGATTTGGTCTGGTTACTTTACTCTTCGCATGTTTGCCAGTGAGGAACCACTGATGCACCTTTACTATAATTTTTACTCCAGTTCACTAACATTGCATCCAGCTGTGTACTAGTTGTGTTTTTGTTAGGTTTTTTTTTACCCCCTCTAAAAGAATGTTTTTAAACTTTTCTGTCTCAAATGACTGTACATTGCTGACTGGCATTACGGAACAAGTGGACCTGTTAGGGTTTTTTGTTGGTTTTGTTTTGTTAATTATATCCTATATATTAATAGTTAGGGTTTATAAATTAGGGATGGTAAGTGAAATCTGTTTATAGTCTCATTTTCCTCTTTTGTGTTTTTCCTTCCTAGTACATGGAAAAAGAAGATGCAGTGAATGTCTTGCAGTTCTGGTTGGCAGCAGATAACTTCCAGTCTCAGCTTGCTGCCAAGAAGGGCCAGTATGATGGACAGGAGGCACAAAACGATGCCATGATTTTATATGACAAGTGAGTTTTGTTTACTGAGGATTTGATATGCACTTCAGGAATAAAGATGCATACACTCAATCTCTGCTTCAAGGAACTCACAGGCAGCAGCATACAAGCTGCTTTTTATATGGTGTGTATCAAGTTTTGGAGGCTCTTAGAATAAAACTTTCTGCTAGAGAATAGGGGAGGTTTGTGTGTGGCAGGCAGGACAGTGATGTGTAGTTCAGGGAGGGTTCCACAGAAGAAAGATTTAAATTGGGTCCTGAAGAATGAATTGAATTTTGCTAGCCAGAGAAGGCAGACAAGAACATCCTGGGCAGAGGCATTGGCACAAGCTGTCATGGACATTTGCAAAATGTAGCACGTTCAAGAAACAAGTTTGGGTATTTGAAGTGTGGGTATGGAATATTAGAGAAAGATGCAAGTAATTAGAATATATTGTAAAGGGTCCTATAGATCTGTGTATGGATGTATCATAATTTCTGGTGCAAATCTGCTCGGCCAGTTTAACTATTCAGTGAGTAATAGCTCTTCATTAGTCTTCACTGAAAAGCAGAGGGTGGCATAGTCTTACAGTGAATGGAATTGAACCCATTAGGCAAGTGATAAAGCTGTGGCCAGCTTCACTGAACTTTTCTTATTCTGTAAAGAGAAGCAATGTGTTATTTGTATCCAGAAGCAAGTGCTCAGGATAACTTGAGGGTAGAGAAGACTTCATGGATGTCAGGGTTGGAAGGAGCTGGAGCACGTAGGTCCGTAGGACTTCCCCAGCAGCTGATTAAAGATGGGTTTCTCGTCCTCCTCTCTGAGATGCTGACTCAGCAGGTTTGAGGTGTGACCTAGGAAGTTTTCATTTTAGAAAACACCCCCGCTGATTCTGATGAATAGCCAGATTTTGCAGATAAGAAAGTTAAGGTCCAGAGAGGTAGTGACTTTCTCCAAGTCAAAGGGTAAGTTAGTGGCTGCACTTGGACTGGAATGCAATGCTTTGTGCTTGTGCAGTGTTATCCTATCTAATAAAAGAGAAACATGGTAATTAGCCGTACATCCGCTACCCTTCCCATTGGCTAATCAGGGCAATATGCAAATTAACTGCCAGCCAGCATGGCGGCCAGCAGCCAGGCAGCTTGAAGTTAACATGAGGCTTGCTTGCTTCAGTGACGGAGGAAACCAATGTTCCCCGCCTGCCTTGCTGGCCTCTGAGCTTGCAGTTTGAAACATTGTTACAAATATAGAAGCTAAACAAAACCCCAGAAACCTGCTTTCAGCCAGCTGGGATCTCAGAGCTGGAGTTGATACAGTGTTTTGATTATAGAACCCAAACAAACCAGATACCTGCTTTCAGCAGCAGAGGCCTCAGAGCTGGAGCCAGAACTAAAGCTGGCCCAGAATTAAAAAAAAGAAAAGAAAAAAAGGAGCAGTTGGGAGCTTCAGTCACCCGCCAGCCTGAAAACAGCCCTCAGCCCCTCACCCAGACTGGCCAGGCACCCCAGTGGGGACCCCCACCCTGAAGGGTGTGTGACCAGCTGCAAACAGCCATCATCCCCTCACCCAGGCTGGCCAGGCAACCCAGTGGGGACCCCCACCCTGATCCGGGACACCCTTCAGGGCAAACCAGCCGGCACCCACCCGTGCACCAGGCCTCTATCCTATGTAGTAAAAGGGTAATATGCCTCCCGGCACCGGGATCAGCGTGACGGGACAGCGCCCAAACCCCCTGATCACCCTGCAGCTCTGTGTGTGACAGGGGGCGGGGCCACAACCTCCCTATCAGCCCTGCTCTGTGCCTGTTAGGGGGGAGCTCCCCAACCCCCTGATCGCCCTGCAGCTCTGTGTGTGACAGGGTGCGGCACCCCAACTCCCCCCCCCCCCCCACAGGCCCTGCTCTGTGTGTGACGGGGTAGAGCCATAACCTCCCCATCGGCCCTGCCCTGAGTGTGAGAGTGGCGGCGCCCCAACCCCCTGATCAGCCCTGCTCTGTGGGTGATAGAGAGCGGCGCCCCAACCCCCTGATCCGCCCTGCTCTGTGTGTGACAGGGGGTGGTGCCCCAACTCCCCTATCGGCCCTACTCTGTGAGTGACGGGGGAGCTCCTCAACCCCCTGATCGGCCCTGCTCTGTGAGTGACGGGGGGAGCTCCCCAACCCCCTGATTCACCCTGCTCTGTGCGTGACAGGGTATGGAGCCCCAACCCCCCTGATGGGCCCTGCTCTGTGCGTAACGGGGTGGCGCCGCAACCTCCCCATCGACCCTGCCTTGAGTGTGACAGGGGGCAGTGCCCCAATCCCCCAATCGGCCCTACCCTGAGCATGACTGAGGGTGGCATCGAAACCTCCCGATCCGCCCTGCTCTGTGCATGACAGGGGGCGGCACCCCAGCTCCCCAATCAGCCCTGCTCTGAACCTGACCAAGGGCTGCACCTAGGGATTGAGCCTGCCCTCTACCACCCGGGAGCAGGCCTAAGCCAGCAGGTCGTTATCTCCCGAGGGGTCCCAGACTGCGAGAGGGCATAGGCCGGGCTGAGGGACCCCCCTTGCCCCCCAAGTGCACAAATTTTTGTGCACCGGGCCTCTAGTTTTAGTATATTTGTGGAAAATACTATGTAGGGAACTGTTACATGGTCATAGAAATGGCAGGTGTTTACATTTAGAAGCTTAATCTGGGGTGCCCCAAATTCAAATCATGGAGGAATATTTATGAACTTGTTATAAGACGAAAGACTCACTTTTTGTTAAGAAAACACTGATAACAAAAAAGAAGCGTTTTCTGTATGCTGGAGCGGGAGAGTGCACTAGCAAGTACTGGCTGGGACGCAGTCCCACATGGAGCAGAGACCCACTGGATCCCATTCTCACTCTAGGAGCCATTTCTAAATGAAGCTTACTGGTTCGTATCCCGCTGCACTGTCATTTTGGCAAGTTTGTTGGGCCAAATTTGACTTTACAGTCCCAATTTGTTTGGTTTATATCTTTTTTTTTTTTTTTTTTTTTTTGGTTTATATCTTATTTATGCATCATCGTAATCATGCCTCATCAGTCTTTCTGTATTTGTATTATAGACAGGAGTTAGACTCTCTAGAATGCTTGGAAGGGAACATAATAAGGTGTCCCCCAAAAAAGTGTACTCACTTGAACAGCTGGTAGCTCAATTTTGCAAATGAAAGGTATTTTAATAAACACTACCTTTATAATTATTCAAAGTGTGTGTGTACATTCTTTTGGGATACCCTATATATGTTTTTCTCCTTCAATGCTTTTATTTAGTATCCACTTTATAATCAGCTTACCAAAACACCAGTTGCATTATGTCCTGTTAAGTTAAAAATCTTTGAGTTATTGGCTCAGTTTGTTGGAGCATCGTCCTGTACACCCAAAGGTTGAGGGTTCAATTCCTGGTAGGGCACATACCTAGGTTGCAGGTTCCATCCCCAATCAGGGCGTGTGTGAGAGGCAGCAGATTGGTGTTTCTCTCTCACACACCCCCAGCCCCTCCCCCTGCCTTTCTTTCTCTCTGAAAATCAATAAAAACATATCCTTGGGTGAGGATTTTACAAAAGGCTTTGGCCTTATCCGGTTTTGCTCAGCTGATAGAGTGTCGGCCTGGGACTGAAGGGTCCCAGGTTCAATTCCGGTCAAGGGCATGTATCTCGGTTGCAGGTTGGGGGCATATGGGAGGCAGCCAGTTGATGTGTCTCTCTCACATCAGTGTCTCTCTCTGTCTCTCCCTCTCCCTTCCACCCTCGAAACATCAATGGAAAAAATATCCTCAGGTGAGGATTAAAAAAAATCTTTGAGCCCTGGCCAGTTACTCAGTGGTTAGTGTCAGTCCTTAGACCAAAGGGTTCAATCCCTGGCCCCACTCAGGGCACATGGGGAGGCAGCCAATGTGTCTCCCTCATCTCTCATCTCTCTCTCTCTCTCTCTGTCTCTCTCTCTCTTTCTCTCTCCTCCCTTCCACCACTCTGTCTGAAAATCAATGGGAAAAGTATTCTCAGGGGAAGATTTAAAAACAAGTCTTTGAGAATATTGATTACTACTTTTCGCTTGTATACCAGACCACCAGCAAGTCCTATTATTCTATCCAAATACATCAAATACATCCACTTTACCCTCAGTACTATTCGGTTTGAATTCCTATATGTAAATTATGTATGCCTCCTAGTTACAATGGTGTGTTCTCATTGAATCCTGTGTAGGGATTTTTTTCTGCTGTTTCTAGAAGAAATGACAGTGTTTTACCCTCTTTCAATCCATTTCTTTCTATGAGTTGCTGAACAGAGAATAGGTTCCCATTAAATATGTGTGACTGATTGATTTCTTTACCTCAGTTGTAGCCTGGTCCTTGAAAATCTTAAACAAGAAGTTAGTATGATGAAAAGCAGATAGGGAGGTAGCAAGTTGACTCAGAGATCTTTGGGGAATGGGGGGAACAGTTGCAGCAAGGCCATGATAGTGCTAGGTCTGCAGGTTGAATCAAGTACCTTCAGAAGATTCTCTGGTGTAGGCGTCAGAAGTTGCTTGTATTTGCTTTGGAATTTGGTTTTACTTTGGCTGTCTTTCTATCATAGGTACTTCTCCCTGCAGGCCACACATCCTCTTGGATTTGATGATATTGTAAGATTAGAAATTGAATCTAATATCTGCAGGGAAGGTGGGCCACTCCCCAACTGTTTTACAACTCCATTACGTCAGGCCTGGACAACCATGGAGAAGGTAACCAAGAACATCAAAAGTATTAACCTATCAGAAGTTTTTACTGTTGGAACCCAGAAAATAGAGCATGGGAAAAACGATATGCAACAGCACAGTGGAAAAGTGAAGTAGTGCAGATAGCGGTTAAGAGCAGAGTCTTTGAATCTGACTTGGTGTGTATTAATCTTAATCTTTACAGGCTAAGTAGCTTCAGGCAGTTAATGAAGTTCTTTGATGCCATTTGCCTCATCTGTGAAATGGGAATGTTATGGGTAATAGAAATTTACCTTAAAGTTATTTTGAGGATAAAAATGAGGTAAGGTGTATATGAATAAAGTGCTTATTAATTAGAGAGCAGTATTGGGCAAAGTTAGCTTAGGAATGATCCAAATATTTCACCAATATCCCTTAACAGGGTTGGAGCATTAGTTTTGTGTAGTATCATGATCACTAATTAGGGCATTAGTAGTAGCTTATTAACAGTGAAGTATTAGAATTTGTGAATGGTTTATTCTTCCAATAACTGGAGCAGCTTTTACCAGGAATTGCAAAGCCCAGGAGAAGCCCATGAAGTTAGGTTGCTACATATGTCATGTGTATCTAGGGGAAGGGGTTAAGTACGCACTGTTACATAGTACCCACGTAACAGCGGAATTTCGGGATAGGGAAGAGTTCAATATAAAAATCAAATCATTGAAAAGCTAGTGATAAACTGAATAGAGTATCAGCTATTGCCCTGGGAAAATAATTTTTCCATGTTTAAATTATAATCTTTCTGATCTTAAAGGAAAAGTTTCGGATCTGTATTACATTTAAAAAAGAGAGAGAGGCCCTAACTGGTTTGGCTCAGTGGATAGAGCGTCAGCCTGCAGACTTAAGGGTCCCAGGTTCGATTTCAGTCAAGGGCATGTACCTTGGTTGCAGGCACATCCCCAGTAGGGAGTGTGCAGGAGGCAGCTGATCAATGTTTCTCTCTCGTCTATGTTTCTAACTCTCTATTCTTCTCCCTTCCTTTCTGTAAAAAATCAATAAAATATATTAAAAGAAAATAAAAATGAAAATCATCATTCTCCCCTTTGAAAAAAAGAGAAAAACAAAATCTAAAAAAATTTCTTACTAAATATGTATGTGTATGTAAAGAACTTAAACTAATTTAATGAATCAAGTAGATAAATGGAAAAAAGGCAGAGGTGAGTCATTCGCCAGTGCTTTGTGTAGTTCTATGCTGGCTGTTGGTGTTAGGGTGGTAGACAAAAAAAACCTGGTTTCTGCCCTCCCAGGGCTCTGTCTAAAAAAAAGCACAACTACACACAGACAAATGTTTACAACTGTGCTAAGTGCTGTGAAGGAAAAGTTGATAATAGCAACAGCCAGTAATAAACATGGGAATTTATTCAGCATCTTTCTTAATTTTTAAATGCAAATAAAAACACCCATAGTTATTAGACATTTATTTAACAATAATTTGAAAAACACCACCTGGCCCTAGCCGGTTTGGCTCAGCGGATAGTGTGTGAGCCTGTGGACTGAAGGGTGCAGGGTTAGATTCTGGTGAAGGGCACATACCTTTGTTGCAGGCTACTCCCGGCCTGGGCCCTGTTTTTCTCACATTGATGTTTCTATCTGTCTTTCCCTCTCTCTTTGAAAATCAATGGAAACATATCCTCAGGTGAGGATTAAAATTAAATTAAAGGTTAAAAAAAAGAAAGAAAGAAGAGAAGAAAAGAAAAGAAAAAATAACCACAACCTGGTGTTTGATAGCCTGTGTCAAAACAGATACCTTGCCCTGGCCAGGGTGGCTGAGTTGGTTAAGCATCATCCTGTGCATCGAAAGGCCTCTGGTTTGATTCTGGTCAGGCCACATGCCCAAGTTTTGAGTTTGATCCCAAGTAGGGGTGCTTGTGGGAGGCAGCCGATCATTGTTTCTCCCCCACATCAATGTTTCTCTCTTTCTCCCTCTTCCTTTCTCTGTTTTTCTTTTTTTTTAACTTAAAATCATTTTAAAAAAACCACAAAAAACAGATACCTTGATATATTGCTAGTGGAACAAGTTGACAACATCCTTCTGAAGAGTAAATTGCCCATATATATTAAAGCTAAAATGTTCATACTATTTAATTCAGTAATCACTCCTAGTAATTTATCATAAGGAAATCAGTTCAAAAGTAAAAAATCAATATATGCACAAAGATTTTAATATTTATAACAAACCAGAAAAATCTAGTTTCAATATATATTCACTCCCTAGACAATTTTCTGGTCACCAAGAAATCTAAATATCTATTCTGTGTAATAGTTTCATAGTAAAGTGGGATTTTTTTGTGGAAAAAAATATGAATTATACATGTTGTAATTTTAGTTACAGTGTAAACTCTGTATAAAGGGATATTACTTGGAGTGTAAAAAGGAGAAGTAAAGTCATTTGTGAAATTTTGTTTTAAAGATAGAATTTTAGTTGTATTTGATTTCAGCATTTAAAATAATGCTTGTCCTCTCTTTCAGGTGTTTTTGCCTGGCTTTCTGTCCAGCAATCTGTATTATAAATATTTGAATGATCTCATCCATTCGGTTCGAGGAGATGAATTTCTGGGAGGGAATGTTTCACTGACTGCTCACGGCTCTGTTGGTGCTCCTGACGACTCTCACCAAGGTGGTTCTGACAGCTCAGCATCTCAGGTATTCACCGATTTGCCTCTGCCATGAAAAAGAAAGGTGTACACATCCTTTCCTTTAAATACCAGTAACAGATCCCATTTGTAAGTTTTAAGTTGTTGAAGAAACAGAGGTGAAATAAAATTAGCCTCCTTACTATATATTCTAATCAAAGTACTTGTGTATATTATATTATAAGGTATCATGCTGTTTCACTCAGGCCATTTTCTTGCTTGACACTAGCTGTTCCTTTCAATAATCACAAAATATACATTTATAGCCTCTGAAGAGTTCTTTATGCAATTGTTTGGGATACATTTTATAGAATAATTGAGTGAACTGTTAGATTTCTTATTGTTGTATTTCACTGAAGAGCTTTTGATTTCATTTGAATTATATACAATTCAATATATACAATTTTTATATATTGTTAAATAATTTATTTTCAAACTGTCACCCTCCAAATTGTATCTTTCCTAATCTTTGGTTTGGTTTTGGAGTGCTCTAATATATCAGACCTTACCTGAGTCTCCCCAAAATCACAGGAAGTGGTCTATCCTCAAGAGAAGAGATCTAAAGAGGTATTAAGTTAACTGCTTTTATTGAAGTCACACAGCAAGTGGGAGAGCCAGAACTATATTCCCTGTCTAGTGTTTTTCACCATAAGTTTAATAATATAGCATAATTATTTTCTCATCTCTTTTGACACTGGGCCTTGGACAAATTTTCTTAATTTATAAAATAGAACTATTTTAATGCTATCAACAGGCTCTCCTTGTACATTTCCCTGCTCATAAGGTTACCTTGGAGCAAATCTGCTGCATGTGTTTGCCACTTGGTTTTTCATACAGGCTGGATGGAATGTTTTGGCTTTTAGGCACTTTAAAGACCTAGGTGCTAACTGTAAAATATATTTTTACATTTATAATATACATACAGAAAACTTGCCATTATCATAACTATATACAGCTTCAAGACTTCTCATAGACAGAACTACCCATATAGCCAGCATCCAGATCAAGAAACAGGACTTGATCATTGTCAGAAACTCTCTTATATCCCCTTCCAGTCACCAGCCTCCCCCTTCAAGGGTGGTTACAATCCAACTTTTGATGGCCTAGGTCAGTGGTCGGCAAACTGCGGCTCGCGAGCCACATGCGGCTCTTTGGCCCCTTGAGTGTGGCTCTTCCATAAAATACCGACTTCTGCGCATGGGCCACGAAGTTTCAATCGCACTGTACGTGCGCGCCCGCAGGTGGTATTTTGTGGAAGAGCCACACTCAAGGGGACAAAGAGCCACATGTGGCTCGCGAGCCGCAGTTTGCCAACCACGGGCCTAGGTTAGTGTGATCTGTTCTTGTCATTTTATAACTGTGTGTCTTATTTTTCTTTTTTTGTGTGTACAGATTTATTAAGATATAATTCATATACCATACAATTCACCCATTTAAATTGTATAATTCTATGGCGTTTAGTATATTCACAGACTTGCTTAACTGTCACCACAATCCATTTTAGAACATGGTTTTCACCCTGGAAAAAACCTTGTATCCTTAAACTGTCACCCTCCAAATCTCCCATTTCTGCAGGCTACTGCCACTCTGCTTTCTGTGCCATTGATTTGCTTATTCTGGATATTTCATATAAATGGACCCAAATGACATGTGGTCTTTTGTGACTAGCTTCTTTTACTTAGCATAATGTGGGTTTTTTCTTAGCATAATATTTTAAAGGTTTAACCCTATTAAGCTTGTAAAAAAATGTATTCCTTATTATGGCTAAATCATACTGTAGTCCATCAAGCAGACACAGCCACATTTTGTTTATCCATCAGTTGATGAACATTTGGGTTGTTTCTACCTTTGGCTATTATGAATAACTAGAGGCCTGGTGCACGAATTCGTGCACAGGTGGGTCCCTTGGCCTGGATGGCAATCGGGGCCAACCAGCCAGCCGGGGGGGGGGGGGGGGGGCGCGGGGGAGGGGGCATGGGAGGGTGGCTGTGAGTGTGCACTGACCACCAGGGGGCAGCTCCTGCATTGAGCGTCTGCCCCCTGGTGGTCAGTGTGCATCATAGCTACTGGCCAGTTGTCCAGTCATATGGTTGCTTAGGCTTTTATATATATACTAGGGGCCCGGTGCACGAAATTCGTGACTGGGTGTGTGTGTGGGGGGGAGTGTCCCTCAGCCCAGCCTGCCCCCTCACATACTGGGAGCCCTCAGGCGTTGACCCCCATCACCCTCCAATCGCAGGATCGGCCTGGGCAGGGGACCCTCATTTCCCCCCATCACTGGTTCTGCCCCCAGCCCAGGCCTGATGCCTCTGGCCCAGGCGTCAGGCCTGGGCAGGGGACCCCCAGACCCCTCCGATTGCTGGCTCTGCTCCTTGCCCAGGCCTGATGCCTCGGCCAGAGGCGTAGACCCCCATCACCCTCCGATCGCCTGATCGGCCCCTTGCCCAGGCCTGACGCCTCCGCCAGAGGTGTCAGGCTTGGACAGGGGACCCCCATCTCCCCCGATCACTGGCTCTGACCCCCGCCCAGGCCTGAGGCCTCTGGCCCAGGAATCATGCCTGGGTAGGGGACCCCCATCTCCCTCTGATCTCTTGCTCTACCCCCCGCCCAAGCCTGATGCCTCTGACCCATGCTTCAGGCCTGGGCAAGGGGACCATCATATCCCTCCAATCCCCAGCTCCGCCCCCCACCCAGGCCCCCGCCCAGGCCTGATGCCTCAGCCATAGGAGTTGATCCTCATCACCCTCCGATCACCAATCACCGGATCGGCCCCTTGACCAGGCCTGAGGCCTCCGGCAGAGGTGTCAGGCCTGGGCAGGGGACCCCCAGCTCCCCGCGGTTCCAGGCTCCACCCCTGCCCAGGCCTAACGCCTCTGGCTGAGGCGTCCGGCCCGGGCAGCGGGGACCCGCAGCTGCAGCGGCCTCGCGATCGTGGGCTTCGCTTTAGGCCCAGGCAAGGGACCCCTAGCTCCTGGGACTGCCAGCTTCAACCGTGCCCAGCTCCCATCGCTGGCTCCACCCCTACTTCCTGCTATCACTGGCCAGGGTGGAAAAGGCGCCTGATTCTCAGATCATGGCTGGGGGGCAGGGCAAAGGCGGCCCTGGGGCCGCCTTTGCCCTGCCCCCCAGCTCTTAGCTCCCCCCTGGGTTTCCGATCACTGTCAGTGGCAGGGGGCTTCTTCCTGCTTTCCCTTTCGCCTCCCTGCATTGTGCCTACATATGCAAATTAACCGCCATCTTGTTGGCAGTTAACTGCCAATCTTAGTTAGCAGTTAATTTGCATATAGCCCTGATTAGCCAATGAAAAGGGTAGCGTCGTACGCCAATTACCATTTTTCTCTTTTATTAGTGTAGACTAGAGGCCTGGTGCACAAAAATTTGTGCACTCGGCGGGGGGGGGGGGGGGGGCCTCAGCCCGGCCTGTGCCCTCTCGCAGTCTGGGACCCCTCAGGGGATGACCAACTCTGGCTTAGGCGCGCTCCCCGGGGGAATGGGCCTAAGATGGCAATCAGACATCCCTCTGGCAGCCCAGCAGCCCTCGGGGGATGTCCACTTGCCAGTGGAGAGCAGGCCTAAGCTGCAGTCGGACATCCTTAGCGCTTCTGAGAAGGCAGGAGAGGCTCCCACCATCACTGCTGTACTGGCAGCCATCAGCCTGACTTGTGGCTGAGCAGAGCTCCTCCCATGTGAGAGCGCCCTGACCACCAGAGGGCCGCTCCTGCATTGAGCATCTGCCCCCTGGTGGTCAGTGTGTGTCATAGTGACCAGTCATTCCCAGTCTTTCTGCTGTTAGGGTCAGTTTGCATATTACCCTTTTACTATATAGGATAGAGGCCTGGTGCACGGGTGGGGGCCGGCTGGTTTGCCCTGAAGGATGTCCCGGATCAGGGTGGGGGTCCCGCTTGGGTGCCTGGTCAGCCTGGATGAGGGGCTGATGGCTGTTTGCAGCTGGTCACACACCCTTCAGGGTGGGGGTCCCCACTGGGGTGCCTGGCCAGTCTGGGTGAGGGGCTGAGGGCCGTTTTCAGGCTGGCGGGTGACTAAAGCTCCCAACCTCTTTGTTTTTTTGTTTTATTTTTTTAAATTCTGGGATTTATTTACCTTCTATGGCTGTCACTGGAACTGAGAGCCGGCTTTAGCTCTGAGTCTCGGCTCCAGCTGTGAGACCTAGGCTGCTGAAAGCAGGTATCTGGGTTTGTTTGGCTTCTATAATTGAAACACTGTTGCAGCTCCAGCTCTGAGGCCCGGCTGGCTGAAAGCAGGTTCCTGGGGTTTGTTTAGCTTCTATAATTGCAACATTGTTTCTTAGAGTGCAGCTCAGAGGCCGGCAGCGGCAGGAGGGGCTGGAGCAAGCAAGCCTCCTGTTTGCTTCAGCTGCATGGCTGCTGTCCGCCATCTTGGTTGGCAGTTAATTTGCATATCCTGCTGATTAGCCAATGGGAAGTGTGTTGGAGGTACGGTTAATTACCATGTTTGTCTATTATTAGATAGGATATATACACTACTGTACAAGTTTTTGTATGGATATATGTTTTCATTTCTCTTGTGTTTATACGTAGGAATAGAATTGCTGAATTTGTTGATAACTGTTTAATTCTGCCTTGATTACTGTTGCTTTGTAATAGCTTTTGAAATCAGGAAGTGAAATTCCTCCAACTTCTTCTTTTTCAAGATTGCTTTGACTATTTGGAATCCTCCTGTTTCCATTTGAATTTTAGGATCAGTTTGTCCATTTCTATGAAGAAGCCAGTCAGGATTCTGATCGAGGTTGCATTGACTCCATAGATTAATTTGGGGTATTGCCATCTTACCAATATTAAGTATTTTGGTCCATGAACATGGATTTCTTTTCACTTACTCAAATCTTTTTTAATTTCTTTCAACAATATTTTGTACTTTTCAAGTGTAAGTTTTGTATTTTTAAAAATGCATTCCTAAATACTTTATTTTTTTGATGCTATTATAAATGGAATTTTCTTAATTTCATATTCATATTATAAGTGTATAGAAATGCAAGTAATTTTTTTTGTTGCGGTAAAATTCATTTAACATAACTTAGCCATTCAGTGACATTTTGAATGTTCACAGTGTTATGCAGTCATCACCACTATCTGGTTCCAGACTTTTTTTATCATCCCAAATGGAAACCTCCTGCCCTTTGAGCAGTCACTTCCCATGGCCACTTATGTTTTCTTCTAAGTTTTAGGCCTCTGATCCATTTTGAGTTAGTTTTACATATTATGTGAGGTGGGGTCCACCTTTATTCTTTTGCATGTGGATATCCAGTTTTCCCAGCATCATTTATTGAAAAAAAACTATTCTTTCACTATTGAATGGTTTTAGCATCCTTGTCGAAAGTCATTTTAACTAGATACATGAGTGTATTTCTGGACTCTCATTTCTACTCTATCAACCTACCTATATGTCTACCCCTTTGCCAGTAGTATATGTTTTGATTACAATGGCTTTGTAAGTTTTGAAATCGGGAAGTATTTGTCCTTCAACTTCGTTTTTATCATTTGTAAGATTGTTTTGGTTATTCTGAGCTCCTTGTAATTTCAAATGTAAATTTTGGAATCAGCTTTTCCATTTTGATCAGGATTACACTGAATCTGTAGATTGCTTTGGGAGTATTGTCATCTCAACAATTGTAAGTCTTCCAGTCCATGAATATGGAATGACATTCTGTCTAATTTAGGCTGTCCTTAATTCCTTTCAGCAACATTTATAGTTTTCAGTGTATAAGTTGTATACCTTCTTCGATCAGTTTATTCCTAAGAATTTTTTTCTTTTTGATGCTATTACAAATAGGGTTGGTTTTTATTTAATGTTTCAAGTACAGTTTACATCAATATTATTTTATATTAGTTTCAGGTGTACAGCGGAGTGGTTTAGACAATCATATACTTTACAAAGTGATCTCCCTGATAGTTCAAGTGCCCACCTAGCACTGTACAGAGTTATTGCAGTATTATCGACTATATTCCCTATGCTGTACTTTACATTCCCATGACTATTTTTTGACTGCCATTTTGTACTACTTCTTTTTCTTTCTTTTTTTAATCCTGACCTGAGGAATTTTTTTCATTGCTTGTTAGAGAGAGTGAAAGGGAGGGAGGGAGAGAGACATTAATGTCAGAGAGACACATAGATTGATTGCCTCCTGCATGTGCCCCAACTGTGGGGCTGGGGATCAAACCTGAAACCCTGGTACATGCCCTCAACTAGGAATCAAACCCGCAACCCTTCAGTGTTCAGGCCAGTGCTCTAACCACTGCGCTCACCAGCTAGGCTAATCTCACTTTTTGATTCATCATTGATAATACATAGCACTATAACTGCTTTTTGTGTGTCATCTACCTTCAACTTTACTAAATTCATGTTAGCTCTAATAGTTTTCTTGTGAATTATTTAGGATTTTCTGTATATAAGATCACATCATTTGTGAATAGAAAATTTTCTTTCTATCCACTTTGGGTGCCTATTATTTCCTTTTCTTGCCTACTTGCTCCGGCTGGAACTTCCAGGAGGAAAGCTTTCAGTTTTTTATCATATAGTAAGATGTTCAGAGTGGGTTTTTCATAAATAAATGCTCTTTATGAAGCTGAGGAAGTACTCTACTGTTCCTAATTTGTTGAATGTTCTTTTATCAAGGAAGTATGTTGAGCCCTAGACAGTTTGACCCAGTGGATAGAGTGCTGGCCCACAGACTGAAGGGACCCAGGTTTAATTCCGGTCAAAGACTCATAACTTGGTTGCAGGTTCGGTCCCGGCCTTGTTTGGGGTGTGTGCAGGAGGCAACCAGTCGATGTGTCTCTCACATTGCCCCCTCCCTTCCACTCTCTCTAAAAATCAATGGAAAAATATCCTCAGGTAAAGATTTTTTTTTTTAATATTTTTTTATTGATTTCAGGGAGGAAGGGAGAGGGAAAGAGAGATAGAAACATCAATGATATGAGAGAATCATTGATCGGTTGCCTCCTGTATGCCCCATACTAGGGATTGAGCCCACAACCCGGGCATGTGCCCTTGAGTGGAATCAAACCCCGGACCCTTCAGTTCGCAGACCGGCGCTCTATCCACTGAGCCAACCCAGCTAAGGCCTCAGGTGAAGATTTAAAAAAAAAAAAGGAAAGTATGTTGGGTTTTGTCAAGTGCTCTTTCTGTATTAGCCGAGATGATTATGCAGGCTTTTGGTTTTTACTCTTGAAACGTTAATTGATTACCAGTTATTAAACCAAGCTTGCATTCCTGGGATAAATCCCACTTGGTTGTGGTGTATAATTATTTCCGTATGTTTCTGGATTTGGTTTGCTAGTATTTTATTGAGGATTTTGGGTCTAAACTCCAGAGATTGGTCTAGTTTGGGAATCTGAGTAACAATGGCCTCATAGAAGTATTCCTCTCCTTTATTCTGATGCCTCTTTTCTTATTTTATTTTTCTGTTGTTGCTGCTAATCCTTATCCCAGGATATTTTTTCATTGATTTTTTAGGAAGAGAGGAGACAGAAACATCAATGTGAGAGAGACACATTGATTGGTTGCCTCCTACACGCACCCTGACCAGGGCCAAGGAACCTGCAACTAAAGTACATGCCCTTGCCCTGACTGGTTTGGCTCAGTGGATAGAGCATCAGCCTTCGGACTGAAGGGTCCCAGGTTCGATTCCAGTCAAGGGCATGTACCTTGGTTGTGGGCACATCCCTAGTGGGCGGTGTGCAGGAGGCAGCTGATCGATGTTTCTCTCTCATCAGTGTTTCTAACTCTCTATCCCTCTCCCTTCCTCACTGTAAAATCAATAAAATATATTTAAAAAAAAAATTACGTGCCCTTGACTAGAATCGAACCAAGGACCCTTTCAATCAGAGGGCTGGCGCTTTATCCACCGAGCCAAACCGGCTGGGGCTCTTTTCTTTTTAATTCTGTGCCCTTTTGGCTACAAAAAAAGAGCTCTTTCCTCACCTTCGCCCCCAAAGAATGTGTATAAGTATCTGTTCAATTATTTATTTTATTAATTTAACCTACACCTTAGTTGTGGATATTAGGCGTGTTTCTGTCTTTTGTTATTTTAAACAATGCTGCAGTGAATAATCTTGTATATAAGTCATTTTGCATGTGCATCTGTAATTGAATTTTTAGAAGTGGAATTTCTGGGTCAAACCATGGCTCTGTATTTCATAGGTCTATCCATTTTGACTTGCTTTTTATGTGGGAATTAGGAGTGGGGACATAGAATGGTGGAGGGGAACTTATTACACTTACTTAACTGGTTAATTTAGAAAGTTAACTTCAGCTTCTCTCTTGTCACATGGCCTCACTGAGAATCAAAAGCATTCAGGCTTATCTTGTAAAAGTTGAGCTTCACATGTATTAGTCAAGATGCATATGCATGGGTGGATGGGAGTTTTGCACCAATGGGAACATAATGCTATAAGGCAGCACATTTGTGGGAACTTGAGAAAAACATTTGGCATGTGAATGCATATGGTGTGCATTTTAATATTGCACTCCCCCTGTAGTTATATATTGGTGTTACATTTCAGAATCATTGCTGTTTCATCACAGTAATGATGGGTTGAATGAAAATTACATATATTTCAAACACTGAAGATTTGTACCAATCTGTCATATTCCAAACCCAGGAGTGATTTGATTCCTAAATAATATACCACTAATTTTACAATTTCTGTTGTAGTCCAGTATGAAAAAAGCTAGTGTTAAAATTCTGAAAAATTTTGATGAAGCAATAATTGTGGATGCTGCAAGTCTGGATCCAGAATCTTTATATCAACGGACGTATGCAGGGTAAGCTTGGCACATGTCTAGAATTTTATCAAGTATATTAAATTTTGCATCTTTTTGCATTTTAATCTAAACTATTTTAATCTATTATTATGCGCCCAGAACGTTTACATATAATATGCAGTGGAACATGGTAAGAGTGAAGGCTTAGGAATGACTTCCTAGGTTTTAGTCTTGTCCCAGCCACTTATTGCCAAGCTACTTCATCTGTTTGTGTTTGTTTTTCATCTATAAAGTGAGGATAATATTACTACTTCATTGGGTTATTGAGGGTATTAAATGAGATCACACATAAAAGAATTTAGTACATGGCCTGGTATCAGTAAGCACTCCACAAATATTACATCATGATTCCATCACCGTAGGCGATATTGATTACGTGTGATGTTTGTGTGGTATGTTTTGGGCTGTCTCGTCCATATTTCATTTGATTCATATGTTAGCGATTTCAAAATTTCTGTCTTAAAAGCAAAAAGAAAAGTACAGTACAAAGATGCCAATATCATTTATATGGACTGTATAACTAATACTCAGAAAATGGAATAAAATTGTTCCTTTGTATTTTAGAATTAACTTGGTTGTTTATTTCATTCTACAACAGTGTATTTTTTTTGTTTGCTTATTTTTATGTAGTTAATATTACACTGTATGTATCTTGCGCTTTCATTCATAGTGAGTTTTATAGAGTTACCTCATTTTAACTGTGTCATAGTTTCTACATTTAATTTTAATTATAGCTTATAACTGTGACAAAATATTCCACATAATGTGTTGTGCCACTATTTGGTCATTTTGATATTGTTTCAGTTGTTTTTATTTTTCACGTTTATACCCAGTATAGCGAAGCACTTCCTTTTATATACTTCCTTGTAACAAAAAGCAGATGTGAAATTTTAATAGATCTTACTAATTTACCATTAAAAGTACCTGTACATTTTACATTTTTATCAGTCATTAATAAAGGTACTAATTTTCCCCACATCTTCATCAACGCTAAATAATATCAAACTTTACATTTTTTTACCAATCTTGTATTATTGCTCATGAGATAGAGCTTCTTCTTTTTCTTTTTAATATATTTTAATTGATTTTTTACAGAGAGGAAGGGAGAGGGATAGAGAGTTAGGAACATCGATGAGAGAGAAACATCAATCAGCTGCCTCCTGCACACTCTCCACTGGGGTTGTGCCAGCAACCAAGGTACATGCCCTTGACCGGAATTGAACCTGGGACCTTTTAGTCCCCAGTCCGACGCTCTATCCACTGAGCCAAACTGGTCAGGGCGATAGAGCTTCTTTTGGTATGTTTGTTGGTTGTTGGGGTGTTTCTTCTGTGCATTGACTCTTTATCTCATTTTCACATTTTTCTGTTGGGTGATTTTTTTGAAATACATTTTTATTGATTTCAGAAAGGATGGGAGAGGGAGAGAAAGATAGAAACACCAATGATGAGAGAGAATCATTGATCGGCTGCCTCCTGCACGCCCCCTACTGGGGATCTAGCCCACAATCTGCCCCAACCGGGATCAAACCTCAGTCGATGCTCAACCATGAGCCACACCAGCTGGGCTGTTGGATGATTTCATAATGACTTGTTGGAATTCTGTATGTTTATGAATATTAATTACTAGAGGCCTGGTGCACAAAATTCGTGCGGGGGGTGCGGGGGCCCTCAGCCAAGCCTGCACCCTCTCCAATCCGGGACCCCTTGGGAGATGTTCAGCTGCCGGTTTAGGCAGTTGGACATCCCTCTCACAATCCAGGACCGCTGGCTTTTAACTGCTCACTTGCCTGTCCCCTAATTGGACCCCTGCCAGCCTGATCACCCCTAACCACCTCTGCCTGCCGACCTGATTGCCCCTAACTGCTCCCCCTGCTGGCCTGGTTGCCCCCAAGTGCCCCCTCTGCCGGTCTGGTTGCCTTTCACTGCCCCCACTGCCAGCCTGGTCGCCCCATGCAGCCTGCTGTTCATTCACTTGGTTGTCCCTCACTAGCCCCCCTGCCAGCCTGGTCACCCCACACAGCCTGCTGTTCAGTCATTTGGTCGTTCCTCAGCAACCCCCCTGCCGGCCTGGTCACCCCACACAGCCTGCTGCTCAGTCGTTTGGTCGTTCCTCATAACCCCCTTGCCGTCCTGGTTGCCCCACGCAGCCTGTTCGGTCGTCCGTTCGGTTGTTTCGGAGGTGACGGCCCCTAGCTCTTTATATATATAGATGTGTTAGTAGTAATCTCTTAAAAATAAGACCTTTTACTGTGTGCTTTGCCTTTTAATTTTGCTTTTTTACTATAGCTTTATAGCATAGTAATATACTAGTAATTTATGAGACATTTTGTCCTACCTTTTTATCTCTTCTTTTACAAAGTTACCTTGGCTATTCTTGTGCCTTTTCTCTTATCTTTGAATTTTAGAAATGTGAATTAACTGTTAACTCGGCATGTTTCATAAACCTTTTTAGGATTTTGAATAAAATTGTGTTGAATTAAGTTTATTTTGCTTTCTATTTAAAATAAGCCTCACTTGGAATAACATGAGATACTTAAAATTGATTTTTTTTCTTTTTAATTTAAAGTTAATTGTTAGAAATTATATTCTTCTCATACTTACATAGGAAGATGACATTTGGAAGAGTCAGTGATGTGGGGCAGTTCATCCGAGAATCTGAGCCTGAACCTGATGTAAAGAAATCAAAAGGTTTGTGCTGTTTTTATACTTAATATTAAGCCTTTACTCCAGGACCCTTATCCTGAAGAGGAGTGAGGAAAAGGATAGGCAACAGAAGGCAAATGCGGTTGGGGGGTTACCACAAACCATGGCGGGGACTTTAAAGTGCAGGGGACATATTGCAAGTTGGAGCAGGGCAGGCCATGATGTGATTTATGTTTTAAAGGGGCGGTTCTAACAGATGTTTGGAAAGTAGAGTGTAGGAGTTTAAGAGGAGAAGTAGGGAATGTTGCTGCCCTACTTACTGTCTACATAAGGCGTGGTGATGGTGGTGGATTCGGTAGTGGAAGAATGGCCAAATTTGGGTTATATTTGAAGGTAGAGGCAACAGAATTATATCTCCAACAGCAAGCCCATCCATTGAGTTACTTGCATTATTAATTTGAGACATGCCTATGTAGAACAATGAATAGTCACGTCTGCAGTTGACGAAATAAGTCTGTATGCCTGGTGCTTCCTTTAGTTGTTTAGATGTCTCTTTAAGTGATGTGTTGTGGTTTTTGGGGGGCAAGTAAATTATGTAATGTAGGAGCCTGCAGATTCAGTGAATTGACTCAGAAGGCACTTAAATGATTCCTATGTGCAGACACTGTAGATGCCAAAGATATAAACAAGAGGATGTACCAGTAATGTCGGTTTATTTTAATCTAGTTTACTCCCATTTTTTTGTGACCTTGACTGCTAAGTCTGTCACGCTAGTTTTCCTATAAAATGCCTAACCTTCTGGATTTTTTGTTGTTGTTGCATTATTTAGTTTATTCCTTTCTCTCCTGTATTTCTTGTAAACTTGTAGTTGTACTTAGGTCTTGATGATTTGGTTAGAGTACATCTAGGACCTAGATTCTAGGTGATGTTGTGTATGGTATTTTTAAAAGAATACACTCAAAAGTATAGCATGAGGAGAGGGAGGTACCTTTTACTTTTCATTATAACCTTTTCCTTTTTGAATTTTCTTAACCGGCATGTTTTGCTGCTTAATCACCCACCCATCTCTTCCCCCATGGCTTCCTAGCAACTCTTTGCTGTAACCTACCAGTATCCCCTGTCTACCTTTCACCACTCTTCCTTTCACTGACTAAGCTTTCTCTGAAGTCCCTTCCCTGTTAGGGCCTCCACATAGCTGTTTCCTGGCCATGAAAGTCCTTCCATGGCTTTCACAACGCCTGGATCCTTCTCATCGCAGTATTCTCCCTTCAGAGAGGACTCCCCAGCCCAAATGAACTAAATCGTTCAGACAATTCACATACCACTTCTTCATTTTCTTAGTCACTGTCTGAACTTATTTTTATAAAAGAAAGTTTATTTAGGAAGTCGCAGAGATAGAAGAAGTGAATTGTAGAAGAAATGGGTTCAGGAAACAAGTTACAGGGGCAAACAAAGGGCCCTTGGAGCATAGGAGAGAGAAGGGTTTGAAAAAGGAGGGGCAAGGAAAGGTGCCGCATGCTCCCGAGAGGGAGAGCGCTGAAGCTGTCTTGCTCATTTCTTGCATACTTGTTTTATAGTCTCTTTCTCTTTCATGACTAGAATATTACCTTTCTGAAAGTAGGAATTTTGTCTATCATATTTGACACTATATTCCCTGATTCAAAAATTAACCCTTGTACATGGTAGGCACTCATTACATATTTGTTGATTGGATTAATTAATCTAGAAGAGTTGGGAGAGATTTTCTCTCATATTTATTTTAATTATTTAATTTAAAAATCATTTTTAAAACTGACGTGGATACTAATATTTCTTATTCATATTACGTTCTTATTCTGAGAATATTCACAGAGCCACACTCTCCCTTCTCAGACCCCAATACAGTAGAGATTTCTTACCATTTTTCAAGCTCATGCAAATCTTAGATGATACATCTGTGGATACCACCTCCTTAATCTATATACGAAGAAGTCGAGAGTGAGGGAAATTGTAACTTGTTAGGGATCACATAGCAGATTAAAAGCAACTCCAGCTTTGTTTTGTTTTCTTTGTTTTTGTTTTTCTTTTCTTTTTTTAAATTAAATCTTTATTGTTCAGATTATTACAGTTGTTCCTCTTTTTCCCCCCATAGCTCCCCTCCACCTGTTTCCCACCCCCCCCCCCCGCCCCACTGTCCTCATCCATAGGTGCACAATTTTTGTTCAGTCTCTTCCTGCATCCCCCACACCCCTTTCCCCCCCAAGAATAGTCAGTCCACTGCCTTTCTATGCCCCTGATTCTATTATAATCACCAGTTTATTCTGTTCATCAGATTATTTATTCACTTGATTTTTAGATTTACTTGTTGATAGATGTGTATTTGTTGTTCATAGTTTGTATCTTTACCTTTTTCTTCTTCCTCTTCTTAAAGGATACCTTTCAGCATTTCATATAATACTGGTTTAGTGGTGATGAACTCCTTTAGCTTTTTCTTATCTGTGAAGCTCTTTATCTGACCTTCAATTCTGAATGATAGCCTTGCTGGATAAAGTAATCTTGGTTGTAGGTTTTTGGTATTCATCATTTTAAATATTTCTTGCCACTCCCTTCTGGCCTGAATAGTTTCTGTTGAGAAATCAGCTGACAGTATGGATACTTGTAGGTAACTGAGTTTCTTTCTCTTGCTGCTTTTAATATTCTCTCTTTGTCTTTTGCTCTTGGCATTTTAATGATGATGTGTCTTGGTGTGGTCCTCTTTGGATTCCTTTTGTTTGGGGTTCTCTGTGCTTCCTGGACTTGTAAGTCTATTTCTTTCACCAGGTGGGGGAAGTTTTCTGTCATTATTTCTTCAAATAGGTTTTCAATATCTTGCTCTCTCTCTTCTTCTGGCACCCCTATAATTCGGATGTTGGTACGCTTGAAGCTGTCCCAGAGGCTCCTTACACTATCTTCATATTTTTGGATTCTTTTTTCATTTTGCTTTTCTGGTTGGGTGTTTTTTGCTTCTTCATATTTCAAATCTTTGACTTGATTCTTGGGATCCTCTAGTCTGCTGTTGGGGGTTTGTATAATATTCTTTATTTCAGTCAGTATATGCTTAATTTCTAGTTGGTCCTTTATCACAACCTCGAGGGTCTCATTAGATTTCTTGAGGGTCTCATTAAGTTTATCGGCAGTTTCTAGAAAATTCTTGAAAAACCTTAAAAGTGTGGTTTTGAACTCTATATCCAGTAGTTTGCTTTCCTCCATTTCTGTCATTTGTGTACTGTTTCTTTGTCTCCTCATTTTTTTATGCTTCACTGTGTTGACAAAGTGGCTTTGTGTGCTAGGTGTCCTAAAGGGCCCAGTGGCTCAGCCTCCCCAATTACCTGAGGAGGACACTCTTGGTGCACCCCCTTGTGGTCTTTGTGCACAGTCTTGTTGTAGTTAAGCCTTGATTGTTGTAGGTATCACTGGGAGGGATTGACCTCCAGGCCAATTGGCTGTGAGAATCAGCTGTGTCTGCAGTGGGAAAATTTCTGTGCTGGAGAACACCCCTCCGGGCAAGACTTGCTTCAATGGGGCTTTGGTGCTCACCGAGTCTGCCCCCTGAGTGTGTCCTTTATGGATCCGAGGAGCTGCAATCTGGATGGTCCCACTCTGACCACCGGGCACACTGGCTCCTGGATCTCTAAGGAGGTGCTAATCTAGCCTCTGCCTGAGGCTATCCAGCAGGAGCCAGCTGTGACTCAATGTAAGTTGCCCTGGGGCCTTGGGCCAGCTGCAGTTTGTTAGGTAATTATCAGATTGCAAAGGGCCAGGGCTTTCATATGCAAAAGCCTCTGTGGCTTGGGCAGGGCGGTGTCCCAGGTGATCAACAGGGCGAAGGGAGCAGTTATGGCTTCTCTCAGTCCTGCCCTCAGAGGCCCTGCTTCTCAGTGTCCCAGCAATCGCTGCAAGCACCCCTGTGAGAAAGCTGCCCTCAAGGTCCGACTGATGCCAGACAGCCCCGCTTCTCCCGTATGAGTCTGGGTCCCCAGAGACTCGCCCAGAACTGGAGCTCAGAGCTTGAGACTCCCTCCCGATTGAAAAAGACAACCGTGTCCTTAGCCGCCAACCCTCTCCGCATGTGCCTTTGTACCTCTGTATTTTACTTCTGCTCCTCCTCTGAGTCTCGGTATGCTTTTCTCTTTCCTTCTAGTTCTAGAATTTCCACTCAGCCAGCCTTCCTATAGTTCTGGGTGATGTCCGTTCCGTCTTTTAGTTGTATTTTTGAAGTGGTTGTGTGAGGCAGCAATCTCCGGTGTTTACCTATGCCACCATCTTGATTTCTCCGCAACTCCAGCTTTGGTTCAGAATACCATTTTGACAACAGTTTGCAATTTGGCTCCCCTTCTCCCTTCTTCTCCTTCTTTGCTGAGGGCTACTGCAAAGAGTGTTCATTATTTGCCAGTCTGTAGGTTCAATTTGCAGTTTGTTTTTTAAAAAATATTTTTTAATTGACTTTTTAGAGAGAGGATGGGAGAGGGATAGAAAGATCCATAAAAGAGAAACTTCATAGATCGGCTGCCTCCTGCATGCCCCCTACTGGGTATCAAGCCCCAAACCGGGACATGTGCCCTGACCTGGAATAGAACAGAAATTGAACTGGTGACCTCTTGCTTCCTGGATCGATGCTCAACCATTGAGCAACACTGGCCTGGCCAGTTTGGGTTTGAAACCCTGATAATAGAGCACAGAGGACAGGGTTGAGTTTGAGAAGGGTGTATCTCGGAGGCTTCTGAGAGTATGACAACTATGCTTGTGGGGCAAGCAAGGTACTTTGAAATGTGAAAGTGTATCAGGAAGGAATTCTAAAGGGTATTGTGAACATGTGGTCCCTGGAGTGGCTGTTCTTGGTGTTGGATGCAGTGGTGGGAGAGGAAGCTGTCTTATACAGTGGGGCCTTGACTTACGAATGTCCCGACTAACGAGTTTTTTGAGATACCAGCGGTCTCTCGGCCGATTTTTTGCATTGAGTTGATAATTTGAGTTAATGAGCTCCTTAATGAGCTCGGTCTCGGAAGGAATTAAACTCGTAAGTCAAGGCCCCACTGTATTGTGAAAGCCCTTTCATGTCATATTGAGAAACCCGATTCCTGTCATATAGGCATCAGGGATTTCTAAGCAGAATACTGACTAGATACATTTTTCTGGTAGTAGTATAGGAATGAATTGGAGTTGAGGAGAGACTGGTATTAGAGAAACCAGTCAGGTAGTGGGTTTAGCTAATAATGTAGATAGGAAAAAAAGAGGATTTGAAGGTAGATAGTACTAGCAGGAATTAGAAAGAAGGTCAGATTTATAAGACTTCCAGGGTGGAATTTAAGAGACTGCATTTAAGGTAGAATTTGGTGACAGACTTCATATGGAGAATAAATGAGAGAGGCAGGTTGAGTTTTTAAACATGGGTTCCCTGGATGAACAATTATGTTAATTTTCAATAGAGGATTAAGTTAATTTCTGAGGTGGAGGATGAGAAAAAGTAGGTGGGAGACAGATGAGCTCCATTCAGAACATGTTAAGTTTGGGATGCATTTAGGAGAATTTGTAAGCATGGGTTTGAAACCGAAGGACCAGTTTTAGTTATTGCATTTTGAAGGAAGGTAGACACACAGGAGGCAATGAGATGCCCCACCGAGCAAAGAGGGAGAAAAGAAGGCTGGGAATGGGATCTTGGAGAAGCCCAGGTTAAAGAGGAGGGAATACGCAGAGGAGAGTCAGAGGTGGGGGAGTAAAAGTAAAGGGGAGAGTGTTAGCAAGTAGGAGCTTGTCAACAGTGCGACTGCGGGTGAGCCTGAAGAGAGGGTGCAGAGAATCAGGTTTTGTATTTTTCATGAATGCTATGTATAGTTCTGTCCCAGCCCTTGAATTAATCTGTACCTTGCCTAAGAAATAATCTACCAACCACTTGGCTTAAGGCAGTTAGGAGTTGAACCTATTTGTGTTAATGAAAGGGCAGGCTGTGTATTTCATTCATGGAGATAGAGGCTAACCTACTGCCTTGGTGATTTTTCAGCATCTGAGCACAGTTGGAGGTAGGCTTGTGTGTCTGCGAGGAAGTTGAGGGTCCTATGACTTGGACAGAGGATGACTATTTAAAACTCCACGCCCTCAGCTCATTTATCCGGCATGTAGCAAGCAGCGTAATCTGCACTTGAAGCCCTTTTGTATAGTAGTTGCTCGGGAAGGTTTGCTTACATAACAAGTAGATTGTATCTCCTAGATTCTTACCCAGAATTAAATCTAAGCCATGGCTTGCTTTTGCTCTTTTAGTTTGCTGCAAATCTAGCACCACATGGAAGTTTCTTGTATCAAATAGAAGAAAAATCCAGAACTCAGAAACAGGTTTTCAAAGGTTTTTCAAAGCATGATGTTTGACAGTTAAATACTCTATTATGGAGACATCATAATCAGTTTCTGTCAATAATAGTATTCCTTAATGTTTTAGAGAAGATTGTACCCCCCCCCCCCCCAAAAAAAAAGGATGTCCACCATGTCTGGAAGTAGCTTGTACCTAACAGCATTTTTAATGTCAAATTATGCATGAAATCTACATTCATCTTTGGCTTTGTTTACTAGGATCCATGTTCTCACAAGCTATGAAGAAATGGGTGCAAGGAAATACTGATGAGGTAAATTCTACTTTTAGTGTAAAGAGATGCCCGTTTGTAAGCAGCACCTTGTCTAATTAAGGTTTCAAGAGTCTCTTTCTTTAGTTGCCATGTTGAGCCAGTGTGGCATATCATTACTCCCTTACCCAGAACGTAACAAGAAAGGGTGGGCCTTCTTAACAACTCATAATTGCCTGGTGGAGGCTGTGGAGGTATCTTCAGCCCAGAGATTCTGGCCACTGACAGATAACCTTGTAATTAAGTTTCTATCAAACAGCAGGCATCAGTAATCAGTGTAGACACAAAAGCTTCCTTTCTCACTGTCATTTTTACTTTCAGGAATGGAGGCCTCCTTTTTGAATAGTAAAGTACATTGAGAGATGGGAGTAGAGAAAGAAAAATGTTTTTGTTTTGAGAACTAACATGAAGATTGTGTCATGTCAGGTACCGGTAGCTGATTTTGGACGACAATGAGTAGCATATTAATATATCATAGCCAGCCCTAACCGGTTTGGCTCAGTGGATAGAATGTCAGCCTGCAGACTCAAGGGTCTCAGGTTCAATTCCGGTCAAGGGCATGTACCTTGGTTGCGGGCACATCCCCAGTAGGGAGTGTGCAGGAGGCAGCTGATCGATGTTTCTCTCTCATCGATGTTTCTAACTCTCTATTCCTCTCCCTTCCTCTCTGTAAAAAAATCAATAAAATATATTTTTAAAAAATTTATTTTAAAAAAAAAATTATATATATATATATTTATATATATATATATATATATATATATATATATATATCATAGCCAGAGAGTGGCCCAGGTTCTTTCAGACATGGCAGTGTGCTTATCTAAACAGGTAGAAATTATATGCATATACAATTGTGTTTAGAGCACTGAAATGTATGTCTTGATTCTTTTAATAAATAACTGTTATCAACAGTTTCAATTATTTCTTTTAGGCCCAAGAAGAGCTAGCTTGGAAGATTGCTAAAATGATAGTTAGTGATGTTATGCAGCAGGCGCAATATGATCAACCATTAGAGAAGTCTACGAAGGTAAGGATGATTTTTGTTCTGATGTAGCTTGTTTAAAACTGAAAAGCATTAGATTCCAGGTTCTATGTATTTTAAAAAAGACATAAAAGAGCCTCTGCTTCTGCCTTTGAAGGATGAATTACTACAGGAATTACCCTCTCATCATAAACAACTAGAGAACTGGCAAACTAAATGAAACAACTATTTCCAGATATTGGGCAACAGGAAGGAGAGGGCTGTAATCCTTAAAAGAAGGATAACATTGAGGTGATCCATAGCTCACTTCTCAGAAGCAATTTCTAAAGTGCAGGTAGGGGAAAACCTAACAGAGTTCATAGTCTTGCTGAATTGACGCGTCATAAACTGAACTGGAGAGCCCAAGCCAGGGTGGTTAGAAGTCATAGAACAGGATATACCAGAAAAGGAGCTACACAGAAAGAAGGCTCCAAAGATATTTAGAGAGGTCCCTTCAAGCCTTGGTTATGTACATGTGTTGGGTGAAAATGTCCATGGCCAGGGAAAGAATACTGGAAATTAACATGCTAAACAACTCCTGGAACATGGGGCTAGGAATAGTTGACGTTTTTACTAACCGTTGTGGACAGATCTTGTAATACACAAGTCATTGGGTAGTGTCCTCGGAAACATGCCTTACTATCTGAGCTAATTTGGCTCTAGAATAAAGCACCTTAACCAAGCTTAAAAGCAGTTTTTGGAAGGATCAAACTGCTCTGTAAGTAGCAGCTGCATGCCAGAACAGAGGCCAACCCTCCTTAAATGAACAACAAAATTCAGCACTTAACAGTGTAAAAATACAATGTCTGACATCCCATCAAAAATTACCAGGCACACACAGAAAATTACCAGGCATGCAAGGAAGCAGAAAAACTTGACTCATAATCAGGAGAAACACAATCTGTAGCAAACAAACTATATAAAAAATACTGAATACAAAAGAACTCAGGAAAAAGGAGGAAAAGGAAGAAAGAATCAACGGGACAAAAAGAAAATAAATGGAAAAATGGTAGATTTAAATTAAATCATACTAATAATTATATTAAACATAAATGATTTAAATAGTCTAGTTCAGTGGTTCTCAACCTGTGGGTCTCGACCCCTTTGGCGGTTGAACGACCCTTTCACGGGCCGCCTAAGACCATCCTGCAGATCAGATATTTACATTATGATTCCTAACAGTAGCAACATTACAGTTATGAAGTAGCAATGAAAATAATTTTATGGTTGGGTCACAACATGAGGAACTGTATTTAAAGGTTCTGAAAGTTGAGAACCACTGGTCTAGCTGAAACACAGACATCATCAGATTGAAAAGGCAGAACCCAGTTATATACAGTTTATTCCTGAACAACATGATTTGAACTGCATAGGTCCACTTACACACAAAATTTTTCCATTGACTGCAGTTCAGTTTTTCCGTGCAGTTCCAAAACCTGTCTTGTCTTTAGCCGGTTTTGCTCAGTGGGTTGAGTGTCAGCATGTGGACCGAAAGGTCCTGGGTTCGATTCTTGCTTGCAGATCTTGCTTGCAGGCTCCTCCCCGGCCCGGGCTCTGGTCAGGGCTTGTGCAGGAGGCAACCAATTGATGTTTCTCTCTATCTTTCCCTCTCTTTTCCACTCGCTCTAAAAATTAATGGAGGAATATCCTTAGGTGAGGATTTAAAAAACAAAAACAAAAAAACCTGTGGTGTTCAATGACGGTCAGCTGGTCAGCTGGCTGACTTAAGTTATATGCTGGTTTTCAGCTGTACAAGCAGTTGTGGCCACCTGCCCCCCAGTATCATTCAGGGTCAACCTGCACTATACGAAGCCCACTAGCCCTGGCCGGTATGCTTCAGTAGATTGGGCATCGTCCCATGCACCCAGGGTTGTTGGTTTGATTCCCAGTCAGGGCATGTGAACAGGTTGTGGCTCAATTCCTGACAGGGGGCATGCAGGAGGCAGCTGATTGATGTTCCACTCTCACATCGATGTTTTTCTCTCTCTTGCTCTCCTCTCTCTCTGAAATCAATAAAAACATTTTTTTAAAAAGTAAACTGTAATAGCTATGTTACTACAAGTCAGAGTAAACTTCAAAAAAAATAAGGAATATTACCATGCACAAAGGACATTTATCTGATAAAAAGGTCAGTTCCTCAAGGACCTAAATGACATTTGTAAAACAATGCATCCAGCAACAGTAGAACATACATTCTTTTGGCATTTACATGGAACATTTACCATATTCTGGCCCATAAAACAAGTTTCAATGAATTTTAAAGGATTTAAATCATACAGTTCTCAGACCATAAAGGAATTAAACAGGAAATCAATAATGGAAAGATATGTAGAAAATCCCCAAATATTTGGAAATTAAGCAGCATACTTCTTAAGGTAACTCATTAGTCAAAGAAGAAATTAAAAGAGAAGTTGGAAAATATTTTTATTGAATTAAAATTAAAATTAAACAGTATTTGGAGGATACAGCTAAAGCAGTACTTAGAGGGAAACTTAGAGCGTTAAATTTAGTAGACAAGAAGAAAGGTCTCAGTCTGTTTTAAGAATCTAGGAAATAGGTAAAACCCAAAGAAAGCAGAAAGAAGGAAATTTTAAGGATAAAAGTGAATATCAATTACATAGAAAACAGGCAGACAATAGAGAAAAATCAAAACCTCGTTCTCTAAAACACCAGTTAAATTGATAAACTTCTAGCCAGACTACATGGGGGAGGGGAGGAGGAAGAGATAAGCATGAATTACCAATACCAGGATTGAAAAGGGGACATCAATACAAATCCAACAATTATTAAAATTCTAATAAGGTAATATTAGAACTTCGTGCTAATAAGTTCAACAGCTTGGCTGAAATGGAGAAATTCCTTGAAAAACAAATTTCTTCTCAATCAAGAAGAAATAGATAACCTGAATAATGCTGAATTTGAGGGGTTAATATAAAAAATTGAACTTGAGGGGTTAATATCCAAAATATATATGGAATTTAGACAACTCAGAAGCCCAAAGGGACCCAAATATTCTGATTTAAAAATTGACGAAGTGCCCTAACCAGTTTGGCTCAATGGATGAAGCGTCGGCCTGCCGACTCAGGGGTCCCGGGTTCGATTCCAGTCAAGGGCGTGTGCCTTGGTTGCGGGCACATACCCTGTAGGAGGTGTGCAGGAGGCGGCTGATTGATGTTTCTCTCTCATCGATGTTTCTAACTCTCTATCTCTCTCCCTTCCTCTCTGTAAAAAATCAATAAAATATATTTTTTTAAAAAATGACAAAGGACCTGTTTCCAAAGAAGACATACACATGGTTAACAGGTACATGAATATCACTAATCATCGGGGAAATGCAAATTAATTACAACCACAGTGAGATACTACTTTACATCTGTTAGGATGTCACTGAAGAAAAAGACATGAGATAAGTGTTGGTGAGGATATAGAAAAGAGGAAACCCTTGTTCACTATTTGTGGAAATGTAAATTGGTACAGCCACTTGGAGGTTCCTCAAATAATTAAAAATAGAACTACCACATGATCCAGCAATCCACCTCTAGAAATATATTTGAGGATATCTTGAAGAGATATCTGCACCTCCATGTTCATTTCAGCATTATTCACAATAGCCAAGATAAGGAAATAACCTAAGTGTTCATCAACAGATGAATGGGCCAAGAAAATATGTGCGTGTGTGTAATGGCATATTATTCAGCCAAAACAAGGAATGAAATCCTGCCATTTGTTACAATGTGAATGGACGTTGAGGACATTATGCTAAATGGAACAGTCAGATGGAGAAAGAAATGCTGTGTGATTTTACTTTCATGGAATCTAAAAAGTTGAACTCATCCGTAGCTGGTTTGGCTCAGTGGATAGAGCGTCAGCCGGCGGACTGTAGGGTCCCAGGTTCGATTCTGGTCAAGGGCATGTACCTGGGTTGCGGGCACATCCCCAGTGGGGGGGTGTGCAAGAGGCAGCTGATTGATGTTTCTCTCTCATCAGTGTTTCTAACTCTCTGTCCCTCTCCCTTCCTCTCTGTAAAAAGTCAATAAAATATATTTTAAAAAAATAAATAAATAAAAATAAAAAGTTGAACTCATAGAAACAGAGAGTAGAATGGTGGTTATCACGTGCTGAGGGTTTGAGGAAATGGAGAAACATTTGTCAGAGAATGCAGCCTTCTAGTTAGTTATAGGAGGAATTTGTTCAGGGGATCTAATGCACACCATGGTGACTGTAGTTAACAGTTTTGTATTATATACTTGGTTGCTTATAGAGTAGATCTTAAATATTCTCACTATTTAAGAAAATAATTACGGCCCGGCCAGCGAGGCTCAGGGGTTGAGCGTCAGCCTATGAACCAGGAGGTCACAGTTAAATTCCCGGTCAGGGCACATGCCCAGTTTGCAGGCTTGGTCCCCAGTGTGGGGCCTGCAGGAGGCAGCCAGTCAGCGATTCTTATCATTGATGTTTCTCTCTCTCTCTCTTCCTCTCTCTCCCTCTTCCTTCCTCTCTAAAATCAATTTTAAAAAATATATCTTTTAAAAAAGCAGATTCTGTATTTTAAAAAATAATAATTATGTAAGGTGATAAATATAATAACTAATCTTATTGTGGTAATCATTTTGCATTACATATGTGTATCAAATCATGTTACATGCCTTAAATTTACATGATATCAGTCAAATTGCAGGGGCAGGGAGATAAAAGGAATTGAATTGGTAGTTAAAAACCTTTTCACAAAGAAAACTCCAGGCCTAGATAGAATTTAAAGAAGAAATAGTACCAATTCTAGACAGACTTTCAGAAAATTAAAGAGGTAATATTTTTTAGTACATTTAATGAGGCCAGTATTACCGTAACACCAAACATCAAAGACATTACAAGAAAAGAAAACTATAGACTAATATACCTCATGAACATACATGTAAAATCCTTAACAAATGTAAGGAAATACATCAGAAATATATAAAAAGGATAGTACATTTCAGGAAAGCAAGGTTGTTTTGATATTTGAAAAT